GGCTTTATGGATGTGGCTTCAGTACAAGCCAAACAGATTGTTTCTCTTAGAGCAACCGCTAACATCCAGGACACCGTGCTATGCGACCCCTCCTTCCAAGGCTTTCCTCCTGCTCGACTCCGAAGCATCAGTCAACCTGGGCTGAAGTGGTGGTCCGTGGCTGCAAGAGAGGCTCGGATGGGGCTGCCTCTCCTCCGTCCATCGGCCTCTCCAACCGCTATGCAGCCCTGTCTGACGACACTCCGGTCCATCCAGTGGCTTCGAGTCTCCCTGATACAGATCCCTTTCGGCGGATAGTGCCTGCCGACACTGTTGCATCTCCTCCACCGGCTACATCTCCTGCACTGGCGGCAAACGGTCATTGGCTGGGCCGCCGGTCTGAAGGATCCTGAAGGATCCTGAAGGAGGCTGTGCTCAGACGCCCCGGAGGCCGTCTCTACCCTGCACCGTCGGGTAGCCCTTCTCTCAGGTCTGTTACTGCTACTCTAACACAACACTCGGCAGCTCACACACTCCATCCTCAGTCCGCACGCAGTGTTGAAGCATATTCTGCTCAGTCCTGCTCTGGAACCCCACAACCGGCATCTCCTCATCCCCTTTCCGAAATGTGCACATCCCACACAGCAATCATAGTAATCTTATAAGGATTAGGACAACTGCACCAACTCCAGCACCTAGAACAAACTCATTTAAAATGCCTCTCTTCAATGTGAGATCTCTGTCAAGTAAGACTTTTATCTTAAATGATTTTTAAGGGTCATTTAAGGGTCAGTGGTCGTGGTGGTGGGCTAAATTGGGAAAAATTTTAAATGTCATCAAGTACGCTGTGATGAATTTAAATCCTTTGAAGTTCTCACTCTTAAAGTTGGAGGGTTGCAACCTATCATATTTGTTATAATTTATCGTCCCCCCTGGAGGATTTTTATCAGAACTTCCTGAATTTTTATCTACTCAGACTCACAGAATTGTTCTTTGTGGCGATTTTAATATTGACCCCACCAATGTTAATGCAACTGACTTTTTAAATATGGCCACTTCTTTTAACTTCAAACAACATGTCAAAGGGAAAACACAGCCTAAAAAGGGAATGCAGGACAGCAGAGGAAAAAATCCAGTCTCCAAGTCCATTACCTCAGTCGGAAGGATTTATTAATTAACTACAATAACATGGTTAAGGATGCAAGAACACACTATTTTTCTGAACTCATTACTACACATAAACACAATCCCAGGTTTCTGTTTAAGACTGTGGATCAGCTGGTAGACCCAACCCCTCCTTGTGCCTCAGCTGGAAGTAATGATGACTGTGAATTGTTTTTATCTTATTTTACCAATAAGGTGGTGTCAATCAGAGCCTCTATTACCCCCACGGCCTCTTACTCAGAGGTCCCTCACCAGCAACAAGAGAGTTTTAACCAGTTTTATCCCATCGACTTGTCTGAGCTTTTAAAAACAGTATCACAAATGAGAGTGTCCTCCAGCCCACTTGATGTAATACCTACAAAGTTTGTACTGAAAGTAATGGATTCTGTTGGGCCTCATTTGATCTCTGTATTTAACAGCTCCCTATCTACTGGTTGTGTCCCTGATTATTTTAAAACGGCTTGCGTGAATCCACTTTTAAAGAAACCTGGTTTAGATCCCTCCCTCCCACAAAATTTTAGACCAAGTTCAAAACTGCCTTTTATTGCAAAGATTGTAGAAATAATTGTGCCCAAACAGCTGCTCACTGTACTGGAAAATAACAAATTATTTGAAAAGTTTCAGTCTGGTTTCAGGAAGTACCACAGCACTGAGACTGCCCTGCTTAAAGTCACCAATGACCTTTTAATGTCTGCTGATGAAGGCATGTGCTCAGTCCTGGTATTCCTGGACCTTAGCGCTGCTTTTGACACCATTGATCACAACATCATGTTAGACAGACTGAGGCACTGGGTGGGGATCTCTGGTATGGCCCTAAAATGGTTTTCATCCTACCTGTCAAATTGGATGTTTTGTGTGTCTGTAAACAACTATGTCTCTTCGTTCTGTCCAGTTAAATATGGTGTGCCTCAGGGGTCGGTCTTTGGACCCATTTTGTTTTCCTTGTATCTGCTTCCCCTTGGACATATTATCCATAAACATGGTATTTCTTTTCATATTTATGCTGATGACACACAAATGTACTTGCCCGTCAGATCCACAGACCCTGGAATGCTGAGTTCACTTAACAACTGCCTTTGTGAAGTTAAAAAATGGATGTCAAATAATTTCCTCCAGCTGAACTCAGACAAAACAGAAATCCTGGTCAGCGGGTCCCAGCAGATGGCAAAACAAATACTGCCATCTGCTGGTTCCCTAGTAAATCACATTAAGCCTGTTGCAAAGAACCTTGGTGTCTGGTTTGATAGTAATTTAAATTTCGAGCAGCACACCACAAAGCTTGTTCAATCATGTTTTTATCAACTTAGAAATAGCAAAAATGGACACCGTGACCATTTTACACGCTTTCATCTCATCACGCCTGGATTATTGCAACAGCCTTTTCACTTGTTTAACCCAAAAATCTACTGATCGACTGCAGACTGTCCAGAACTCAGCTGCCAGGCTTTTAACCAGAACAAAGAAATATGACCACATCATTCCTATTTTAGCTTCATTACACTGGCTCCCAGTGTGTTTTAGAATTGACTTTAAAATTCTATTGATTACTTTTAAAGCTCTTCGTGGCCTCTCGCCTTGTTATATTTCTGACCTTTTAGTCCCATACGCACCAGCACGTACCTTGAGATCCTCGGGCAGAGGTCTGCTATCTGTTCCAGTGTCTCGACTGAAAACTAAAAGGGACAGAGCGTTTGCAGTCACGACCCCGAGGCTCTGGAACAGCCTGCCCGAGGAAATCAGGTCGGCTGAGTCAGTGAACTCTTTTAAGTCCCTTATTAAAACATACTTTTATAGGAGAGCCTTTCCCGATCTTATTTGACTTCATTTTATCCCTTTTATTTTATTCTATTTTACTTATTTTATATTTATCTTAAATGAGTATTTTAGTCTTTTCAATGTTTTCTTGCTTTTATCTTGTATTGTTTTTGTATTATTGTCTTTTGGATATTATTGTCTTTACACTTGTTAAAGCACTTTGTAACTTGTTTTTGAAAAGTGCTCTACAAATAAAGATTATTATTATTATTATTATTATTATTATAAGTTATTACTTACTACAGAAAGAAAGCTAGCTGAACATTTGTCTGAAATCCTTTCAGCTCTTTTAGCTTATGGCAACAAGTAAAAGCCAGTTACTCTTGTCTGAGCGAGAGTCTGGTCTCTCGCTCTTGAGCTTTGAGATTACTAGCTTCTTCCAAAGAACTTTATATACTTTTTGCTTCTTCTTTCAGCTTGCTTGCTGAAAAGTTGTGTTGGTGCTGTAAAGCAATCCGCTGCTGTGATAAATGTCCTGCCTGTGATTTCAATGTTACATAAAGCAGTAGCTGGTGTAGAGAGCCCGGAGTGGTAATGACAGAGAGGCTAATCACCCTATTACAAGTCAGCGTACCATCAAAATGATTTTGAAGCTGTTATTTATTTAGATAAAATTACTACATAATGTTCCTTTAAGTATATTTTCATTATTTTTTGACAAATTTGAATAGAGTCACTTTAGAGTGAGGTAACAGTGATAAAGAGAGGGAGCTAAGTATGTTTTACTAAAGCATTTTAAAGACATAGGGGCTACATGATGAAACATCGTGATTTCCAACAGCTTTACAGATAAGACTTTCAAACTGTATTCATGATTATATGATTTAGATGAACATTCAGACACATGCAGTATGGTTACAGTATTTCACATAGCTTATTGTACTTACTTTAAAAGTAAATTTGTATCACTTGCTTTGGGAAATAGACAAAAATATCATACATACAAAAACATCTTTAAAAACAAGCAATTAGTGTAATCATACCTGTTAAAGGGGCTACATATAGTTTTTTTTTAATGAAATCACTTATCAGTAAATCATTTTTTTACTGTATATTTGTGAGCGTGTTGTAACCTCACAGTCACGGAGAGACCTCTGTTGGCTTTCATCCTATTAGACTGGTAAACTAACATTACTGTAAAGCATGTGAAATAGGCTATATTGTGATTTTGTGCTTTAGTTGGCTCAACTTAGATAGCAAGGAAGGAGCAGCCAGCTATTGTTAGCATGAATCTACCATTATTTGCTTCGTAATGTTCAGTTTAGATTTATTGTTGTTTTACTGATACTCAGATACACAGCTTTTTGCCAGTCTCAGTAGCTGCAATTTCCGTGACCCACATAATACAATAATACAACATGACGGTGCAAGACACCACAGTGGAAGAGCCATTTACCACAGTGATGTTACTTACTATGATCTAGCTGTTGTAAAGTGTGGCAACAATCTTATTTATAATAATCAGTCTAGCTCACTAACCGTTTTCGTTATCATCCAATAAATATAGCTGTGACATTGCTGAGCCTCCAGTGCAAGATACACAACTAGTTATTGGTGGACAACCTAACACGGACATACTGTATCATGTCGTCTAAATGCAGTCATTGTAAAATTACCGTGCAATGAGCATGGACTAGTTAAACGTCAAACTGATAAAAATATTACTATAATGTTGAAATGGGAGTTCACCTGAGTTTCCAGCATGTTGTGTGATGCTGTCTGCTGTGTTTCGGACTCTGTTTTGGCTTGCTCATGAGCTTGAATCTGAAACCGCATTGCTAGAGGCGGCTGAAAACTACACATAGCCCCTTTAAATATATATTTTAAAAACAGTGAATGCGAGGCTGTAACTACATTTTAATTTCCCAACAGTACTCACTACAGTGCTCACAGACAGTGTACCAAAACAATAAAGCAGCCAAAGAGGAAACAGTACGTCTTGAAAAATAAGAATATATTACTATAGCTTTTATTTGTTTTGTATGTTTATGCCATGAAGGTTAAGAATAATGTTTTAATAAATAGCTTTTAATACACACCTGGAATGTTGATAGTTTTTTAATGATTTGCATTTATCACTTACTTATAGATATGCACCTCTGTCTCCATCATCACAATCATCTGCTCAACAGACTCTGAGACACTGTTTATTTTCAGTCCAGATTCTATCATCTAGTAATATTTCTTTACATGCCTCGCTTTGCCAATTATTTTTAGATACTAAATATTTTCAGCACTGCTCTTTCAAGTACTTTCTCTTTTTCTTTCCTAATCATCCTTTTTCTTGCTTTAATCTTGATTGTCATTATTATTATCATTACCATCATCATCATCATCCCCATTCTCTCCATTTGCTGTGGCATCTTTGCTACTGGCTGAATGCGTCTCGCCCATGTCCAGCTCTGCTTCACTTTCCACATCATCATCTTCTCCACTGACCTCTCCATTCACCTGTCTCTCTTCTTCTCCTGACTCTTTGGTAGCTCCCTCTGTTGTTTTGCTCAAATCTTCTTCCTGGTTACTGTTGCTACTTCTGTTGCCATCGTTCTCTTTTGTCTCGTTATCTGATGGAGTTTTCCCCAGGTCATCGCTGTTTTTTGTCTCTCCTGTGTCTACATCATTAACTTGGTCCTTACTGCTATTCTCCCCATTTCCACTCTCACTATCTTGCTTCTCTTCTTCTATATTTTTTCCTTGCTCATTCTTTTCACCCTCAGAAGATGTATGGCTTCCATCCTCTTTCTCTTTACTGTCCAAGGTCTTATCACTGTTGCTACTGTTGGACCCCTGCCCCTCACTCTTACCCTCCTCCTTCTCCTCAGATCCTGCTGTTGCATCTACCTCATTTTCATCATTTTGCTCTTCATTTTCATTCTCCTCTTCCCCTCCTTCTTTTTGACCATTTGTCTCCTGGTTCTCCTCATTTTCTTCTTTGCTTGCAGAAGTTTCATCATCTGCAGGTTTCTGTAATGCAATAATACCACAGGAACAATTTATAGCTCTAAATATTTTAACAGGCATAGAGTGTAATTGGATTGTTTACAATATTTCTCTGAGAGAGTGGCAGCATTTTGAGTCATGAGCACTTACAAATCAAGTGGAGCCAAAGCATTATGTATTTTTTTCAAGACCCTTTTTATGGCATGTAAATCAAAATGCAATACATAGTGGAGAACCAGCAAGCATTTGGGCTCCCTAATGCACCATGGTATATAAAACAATAGGTATTTATTATTTTGTAATCATTGGGTGATATGTATTACATAATGATATAATTGTAATTAGTATTAGTACAAATACAAATCAAAGTCTATAAATAACAATGGACTATAGATAATATGAATTCTGTTTCTTAAATCATTGAGTTAAAGTGGTTCAAATAGACATTTTGGCTCATAGATACAAAAATATATGCATCCCAAAATAGAATAAACCCTGTAGAAGGTTTATTCTAGTTTTTCCAGGTATCATGAGAGAAGACTGACATGCAACAAAGAAACCTGCAGTTATGTCAGGCAGTGTGCCTGCTGTGTGCCCTAATGAGAGGCTAGGTCAGAAAGACTGTAGAACTACATCTCTTTACAAAGATGCCATTGTTAGCTCCTAATAATCCATTATGTATGTATGCTGTATGTTTACCTCTTCAGCTGGCTGGTCTTGAAGGGTCTTGTCCTTAGAGTTTCCATCGTCAGCCTTTGATTCAATATCATCTGGAAATGCAGAGATAACAGTGAAAGTAGTAGAATCTAAGCAAAGGAAGTTAGTGTTAGCATGGGCTGATTTTACAGAAAATGGAGTTCAGTCAAAGCATGTTTCAGTGTAATATTATTATGACATATGCATGGGTTTCATCCTTATGCATGTGTGATATTTTGCCCTGAATGGGCTTATTAGGGGCAATATAATGTGAAAAGTGAGTGATGGGTGTCACCCTGCTGTAAATACTTAAAAATTTACAGTGTTGGGCAGGAGCGTCGCTACAAGTAGCGCTGTTACTAGTTTAACTACATTCTGAATCAAATAGCTTTTCAGTAATGAAGCTCTTTTACTGACCGAGTAGCGGTAGCTTCCACACACGCTACATTTCCCCAAGCATTTCTGAAGGGTCAGTGAGTGACGCCACCGCCACACACAGACCTGTATGTGTAGCCGGCAGAAGCGCTTCTGTGTGACGGTGACATCACGTACCGATCCTTGGGCTGATGTCTGCGACTTTGCTGCAGGGGAGTAAAGACATGCGCGACTGAGTTTACTTTCTATTATGATAGTTATTGTTACACCACTTGTGAGAAGGATCTAGGCCCAGCCTGGACAGCTCTTCCTCTAGTGAGGAGGAAACTTTGATATATAGTGGCAGAAACTTGTTTCCATGAACATCCAAACAGACTTTTCTACACCAAATCAAACAAAACCGAGAGGTAATAAAATGACATGAATTGTATCAAAGACATGAATAATATTTAAATTTAAAGAGTGACAGTCCGTTTTGAAAAGGCCCCAAAAGACTAAATGATACAGAATACAAAGAAACGCTGCACATTACAGCACAGTGTTAATTTAGATGAATCTAATTCCACTCTAGTGATGTAAAATCCTTACAATCACTTTGTTTTTCACTTATGTAATTGTACAGGTTTAATATTCCTTTATGTGCTGACTTATTTTAAAGACCATTACATCATTCCAGAAATCCATAAAACATCTCCTTTAAATAAGGGAACTTTTATTCATCCTCCAATATGTGACTTGTTGAAAAAAAAATGTTGAAAATACATCTTTCACACCACAGCTGTTTTCAGGCTTGCACAGGCACAGCACAAGAGTGACACCTGGTGGCGAAGATGAAAAACACTCAAGATGATTTCAGGCAAGTAAACAACTTCCCCAGACAATGGAAGTGTGCCAAAGAGAGTTCAAGGTGGTGAGAAGGTCCAGAATACAAATGTCACATTAGATCACAACCACCTTCATCACTATTATTATTATCCCCAGTGCAGTAATCATCCTAATAATCATCACATGTATAAAAAGGCAGATGTTGTTCCATTGCTTTAAGGTGATACTGTACATATCCCCAAACACAGAAATACAGAAACATAATCCAGTCCCATTAAAGAGGTTCCCTCAGGTCAGGTCAAAGTTGACTTGAAGAGAGATATGGGCCCCACATTTTCTTTTTGATAAGATAAATGACTGGTTTCATCTGCTAAAGTTTTAACAAAGTTGCAAGCTGCAGTCAAGATTGTTCCACCCAGGACACAATGTGTAATGCAGACTGAGCAAATTAGTAGACTGGTTGAAAGAAAAAAAACAAAATAAACATATCTTGCATAGTCCCCAAGAGGAAATGTATGTCATACTTTACTGTCTAAACAACTGTGTAGTGATACTGTGGATCTTGATGTTTAAACGAAGACATCAGACCCCAGCTCCATACCAGCAACACACTCATTTCTATTGAAGCAATCAGCTCAGCAAGGCAGGTTTGTTGGAGTGCAAAATGAATATGTTATTTTTTTTTTTTTTTAGTTTTCATGTGAGCATGTGCATCAAAGGCCTTGGAGTAATTAACCCAAAACATCATAAGAGGAATACAACTATACGCTCTGATAAACAACATAATTACACACTTGTTTTGAAACACTGGATGAGACTGAAATTTTCAATCAGAAAATAAGCGGCAAAAGAGTGAGGCAGGAAGAGGGGGAGAACAGAAACAGTGTAATTAATGTCTTTAATATTAGTTTCCCTTTCTACACATACCAGTTAAAGAAGAAAAATGACTCGGGTAGAGATTAGAAGAGTTTATGGAGACATTTAATGCATTTCAAATGCAAAACTGATTGAAGTTTAGCTATGGTGGGAGATGAAACGTTATGGTAATAATAACGGACCTCTTTAAGAATATTTTATGGAAATCGCCCGCATTCATTAACAGCGAGGGCCGAACGATTGAGCGTAAGCAGTAAGCAGTGGATGAGCTGCTATGACTCTAAACATCTTAACATGATTTGAGGATGAGGCACCGGCTCATGAAAATGCTAAATCAAATTAAACACAATATTTAGAATCTCCCCTTCTTCCTCTTCATTAAATCCAGTAGATTTGGGTCCTGGCATTCCAAATGGCTACACAGTTTTGTGTATATGTGTAAGTGTGCAGATATGTGTCATTCTATCCCTCTTTTTTTTTTTATAATCAGACAAAACCACACATACTACTCCTTCCTTCACTTCACACTACCGGTGCACAAACGCATATAGAGCACACCCATATTTCCGAAATAGTGCTACATCTCATCCATCAGTGTGAGGTAAAACAAGGATGCAACTGTAAGTGGGTATAATTACTCATATAAATGGCTCTTGCTGCCATTCTTATGAAAGGCAAAGTTATAAATGACTGTTGTTTCCAGAGAAATGTAATAAAACACACATGAAGATGTAGCGATAGCAGGTAGTAAACTACAACAACCTCCCTCACCGCAACAAGCAAACCATCTCCCTCTCTCTTTACAAACACGCAAACACAGATATCCGGCCTTACTGGTGCAGGGTTTTAGTTTTAGGGGACTGGTTTGTAAAACAAAAAACAGGTCTTCGGTGGTCTCCATGTCTACACCTCAGCAATATACAGTAACACTGTGCAGCACTGCTTTGATCTGTGTTTACATTTGATGTGCTCATCCAATTCTAGTAACCCCAATCCAATCTGCAGTTTACACCAGGTAACATGATGTAAATACTATTCCATTCAATATATATGGATTATATTCCATCCATCCATCCATCCATCCATCATCAACCGCTTATCCTGCGTACAGGGTCGCGGGGGGGCTGGAGCCAATTCCAGCTGACATTGGGCGAAAGGCGGGGTACACCCTGGACAGTTCGCCAGTCCATCACAAATGGATTATATTACTAAGCTTAATTATTAACATAGCAATATTTATGATAGCAGAAACAATCCCTCTGTTGTTCCTTTGCTCAGATAGACCCTGAATCTATACTACAGTGTAAAAAGTCTTCTCTTGTTTGCATAAAATGTAGCAATGAGTTTAAACTCGGCAGGGAGTCGGGTGGTGAGCCAACATGTGAATGCAGCTTTTCATTTGTTGGACAAAATAAAAAAGCCACATTGTACATTTTATCATCGTATCTTTTCACAGAAAAGCTTTTTCACTCCTCCAGGAAGCATTTCTGAGTAAAAGCCATACAATGCAGTGCAATCAAGTTTTTGACTCCACAGGAAATCTGTAGCAGACCAGTGCATGAATATGTTTTTTCCCCATCGCAAATAGAACCATGAATAGGTTTATTGAGGATGTATGTGGCTTCTAACAGCTCTGAAGGTACTGTGCTGGAGAAACCTGCTGTTTTTAATGTTTTCAATGCCCAAATCATTTATTCCAGTTTCTCTGGAAGCTGTTATGCCATTTTTCTGAGATTAGAAGACATTTTCCATGCTGTGACACCTCTGGGAAAACATACTGAACTGAATAAAGCTTTCTCTAGTCTTGAGTACTAGAAAATTCAGTGAGGGTTTTTAACTCAGTAAGAGGACTGAAAATCTCAAGACCAAAATCTCAAATAATTGAATTTATCTCATTGTAGCCTACTTATTGCATGATAACATCATCAAAAACATTTCTGAATCCAGCAGTTACTGTGCACTCACTGACCACCTTATATTAACTGTAGGTTAATAACAATTGGTTGTTTTGCCAATGCTTTTCCTGTAAGGAAAGGAATGCCGAACAAAACCAAGCCTCTATCACAACTTAATGGAATACACGTTTGTTATTGGATCCTTTTTTGTTGCTGATGTATCATGAGACACTCAGACATTGTGAGCTCTGACAGGCTGACATCTGCGTTACAAGCACACTGGGAAAATGTGTTCTTGGGTTCTTGGACATGCTTTGGATGCCATGGTCAAAAGTACTACTGTGTACTGTGTTTTTTTTTTGTTTTGGCTAGAGTGGTGCAGAATCTTTATTCTTTCAAAGCCACTTCTGAAAAATCAATCCCCAAGTTGTAGTTCTAAATAAATAAAGATCACCGTTTTAATACACACTGTATTTCTGATTGTAAACCAAAGCATGGAAAAGTCGTTACCATGGCCTCCACAAGCGACAAGTCAATTCTGCTTTGGGCGGATTAGCTCTGCCATGTTAAATAATCACTCAAGTCTTGACGTACTACTTAATGTATCTAAATCACTTGACACAACACCGAATGTATATCACCATTCAGTACAGCATGTTGCTTATATACACCCAGTGGATTTAACCCACTCAGCACATGGCTGAGTTACAGTGGGGTGTAAAACAACATGGGTAGTAACTCTGAATGGTAATTATGAAATGTTGCCACTCAGCAAGTGTGCTCCAATCACTGACCAGGGTCCTGTTAAAATATTTAATAGCTGTGTGCCGGCCACCATGAGAAAGGCCCTGTTGGTGTTGAGTTTATAGTGATGTGACACAGAAAAACTATCCAGCTGCTACTGCTACATTGTTTCTCTCTCTCATGCATACACACAACACATTTTCATGTAATTAATAGGTTTATAAGGCAACATAGCAGTGAAAGTATCAAGAGAAACATTAGATTTGGGCTTAGGGTAATGTTCTCTGTAAACATGTCCTTCATGTTTAGCGTCACACAAACAAATTTGCTAACACTTTTGCAGTCAACAATCCGCCATA